GCTCACAGTTTTGCCTTTTGTGCAGCCGTCATCCACCCACCCACCCATCCATCCATCTATCCATGGTGAATGACTGAGAGGTATCCTGGGGAGAGAGATTAAGGGAGAGGGCCACCCAGCAGCCGGAATGCCGCATTTGTGAGCGCATCAGAGAGAGAGAGATGAGAGGTGCCTGTCTGTCTGTCTGTTAGGGGTGCTAGTTTGTGTGTATTGTCTTGTGTTGTGTTGCGTTACTTCCTGACAGACTGACTGATCGCTCAGCACAGAGCTGGCGAGAGAGACAAGAAAGACACGCAGACGACAGGAGAGGAAAGGGGCCAGGGGTGCGTGTGTGCATTAGTGCTGCTGCAGTAGGTAGGTACAGATCTCCCTCCCCTCCCATCTCTCTCACCTCGGCCACACACAGTGAATGTATGTCAGCCTGCCTGCCTACCAGTGCCTGGTGATTGATAACAACAATGATGTCACGTGTTTAGAGAGAGATGACCGATCGATGTGTCTGTCTCCCTCCCTCACTACCTCCCTCCCTCTCCACCGAAGACGATTGTCAAAACCGATCGCACACCACTGCCTGCCTGTTGGGGTGCACGCACCATGGTGGTCTGTCTCACTTTCTATTTTGTTTGTTTGGTGCGATGGCTCTGCATGACAGACAGGCAGGCAGACGCGTTGCTATCCTGTCATGTCCTGTCCTGTCCTGTCTGCCACCGATTTCAAGTGCCTGACTGACTGAATGATTGCGGGGGCGTCATGGATGACTGGCTGGCTGGCAGACAGACAGGTGGGGAGAGAGGCGGGCAGATCGATATGCGTACTGTACGCACACCCATGCGTACACATGCATACAGACGTTCGTGTTGCGTGGGACACCTGATTAAGGCTAACGCGCATTATCTTCGTACGTGTTTACACCATCGCGAGAAGGGCCTGGGGGGAGTGGGGGGCGAAAAGACGGCAGGCTCGCAGCTTTGGGAAGGTCGTCGCCTGAGTTATCAATCCCCGGCCGCTTGCGTGTGGTTCAGCCATGCCGGCAGTTGCCCCAGCGAGCCTCGGCTATGGCAAGGTCATCGACGGCATCTTCTCACAGGCGGGCAAATCCACCGAGGTGGGGCTGAGGCAATGCATGCTCTGAGAGCCTCTTGCAGCTCTGTGTGCTGGTGTTTGTGTGCATGTGGATGGCTGTAACACACTGCAATCGGCCTGTATGTGTGTGTGTGTGTGTGTGCATGTGTGTGTTTGTGCGTGCGATTGAATCCATCCATGTGTTCAGGCGACGCTGACCTCACTGCGGCGGACGCTTGGAGACGGTACGGTGACAGTGCGTGTGAGTCATTGATTGTGTATGTGTGTGCTCTGTGTGTGTGTTCTGTGTGTGTGTTCTGCTGTGAGTGCAGTCGACCCCACATTTGACTACAGCATTTTCAAGCGGTCGGCCTCCCACCCCTCCCTCCAGACACAAGCATACGCCGAAGAGGACGACGAAGAAACGCACAAGGCACGCGTCAAGCCCCAAACACACACACACACACACATGCATCATCCTCCCTCCCTCCCTCCCTCCCTCTCTGCGTGGATGGATTCCTGCAGTACTTGTTGGGCCCCTTCCTGGAGATCAACCGCCGGATCCGCTCCAAGGACGCCCCGCGCAGAGGCATCGATGCCCTCAGGAAGCAGAGCAGCGGGGCGGAGAGCATGCGCAAGTCGGCAAGCGCCAAGGAACTCCACAGCAGGAGACCAAGCGGGGCTGCAGCACGGTCGTCATACGGTAGGTAGGTCGACAGGCTGGCTGGATGGCTGGACGAACGGGCTGGTTTGGTGGATGGATGTCTTGATTTGTGGCTGTGTCGCATCGCATCGCATCACTCAAGGGTTTGCGGGTCCGAAGGTGGGCAGTCCGGCGTTCCTGGGCCCGTCACGGCAGGTCAACTCAACTCAACCAGTCATCCACAAACACCCATGTCTCTCTCCACTTCGCCCCGTTTGTGTGTCTGTTTGTGCGGGTCTCGATGATCTGTGCAGCACGTGGACCGCATCAGCCGTCTGGGCGCCCACTCGCCGCCGCCCGGTGCCTACCAGCCCAGGATAGATGTCACCAGAGACAGGCTCATCGTGCCTGACATGACCATCGGGCTGCCAAAGGCACGTATGCCACACCGACCCCCACCCACCCACCCA